AATATCAAATAAATTATCAGTTATTTTATTACTTGCATTCACTTGAATATGAATGATAAATCGCAAGATTTTATGTTTACTGCTCACTCGTGTCTATATTGTCATTATAATCTATCATGTGATACTCCACAAAAAGATTTTAATACACAAGACTGTTTATGTGAATATAATCATAAAAGATGTAGGGAAGGAACATGTGAAACATACTATGACTATTCACGTTGTCTGATAATCCAATACCCAGTATGTGATTCTAAACGTACTACACAAACTGATAAAAATTGTAACTATAAAGAAAATCATGAAAGGTGTAAAGATGAAACTTGTAGGAAATGTTGTGATTTCTACAATAAAATAATTTTATGTAGAAACTGTTATCTTCAGATAAAAATGTGAATGGTCAAGGGTCATGTGTGAAGAGGATTTTAATCTTAAAAAGGAAGAGATAAAAACTCTTGGGTTTTATTCAGCTGGATTTGAGAAGGGAAGTGAATTTGAAAAACTTCATTTACAAGAGTACATTCAATTTAACACTAGAGTTACTAGAAAATATGTAAAGCAACATTTTGGAAACAATTTACATATCATCATGCCAACTTTTAACCTGCAGAGAAAGCAGAATTTAGATAGACCATATAAAACTAGTACAGAATGCAGACATGAGTATTCCGTAAAGAGATATGATAAATACACTGTACATAAACATTGTTCGTGTAGTTACATAGATCCTGAAGATGTATATGATAAGTGTCTTCCAACAAAAGAAACCTGTATACAAAGTAGAAGATCACTTGAAATAAAGGATAGGAATGGAATCATTATTGAAAAGTATATATTTGGAAACTTAAATAAAAGATAGGATCAAGGAAACAAGCACGAGATAGATCTGAAGAAGAAATAGCTGATGATATATTAGTCATCTCTAACAATGATGACTATTTAGACCAGGATATGACATCACATGATCCTGGTTTATGGAAAAAGAAACCCCAGAAAAATGTTAGTAAAAATGATAATCAGAATGAAAGTAAAATAGCAAATTATAAGATGATGTTAGATTCATTGAGAAAAGGAGAAACTGCATATTCAATACTCAAAAAAAATCCAAATCTTTTTATGAAAGCATTACAATTAAAAGCATTGGAACCAGGTGTATAACAAGAGAATTTAAAGGCAAAGATTTTAGTTACCAGATCAAAGTGGAAACCTGAAGATTTTTTAATTCCAAAAATAGTAAATGATTAGATAAGCGATAATATTTTAAATAAACAAAAAAGAAAGCCAGGTTGTAAGTGTTCTGTTCTCGTCATAAAAAATGGAAAGGGAAAATGAAGTCTTGTAGAATCATTGGTAAATTGTGGGATAAAGATCGCATATTTTCGTAACGAATTTTAACCACATGTATACAACTCCAATGAATACGACGTGTTATGTTTAGACAATATTTACGATTTTACCACAACAAATAAAATGAATAAACAGGTATTCAATGGTAGAAAATATGCACAACTCCTTCTTGGGAAAGATAGAATACTCATCAATCAAAAGTATTTCTTAGAGCGTTCTGTACCAATCATTGTGCTCTGTACCGAAAACACGTGTCCTTTTATTTATAATTGTAATACCGAAGATGATGATTTTCTAAGGAGATTCTTTGAAAATGCACTTGTTTTAGATCTTTG